ATTTCCTAATATACACCACTAGTTAATAACCAACGCACTACTTTCTGTTGATGGAATTAGAAAACCATACAATCATAGAAAACGTTAAGTTTTTTTTGATATGCTCCTTTCTTAAGCCTGGTTGACATCTCAGTTGACATGTAGAATGTAGAATAAGTAAGAGTGGGTTTAATCACCGCGACCTTAAAGATCTAATGTATCTTCCTTTCGTGAGTTATAGCTCTTCCTACAGTATACTACGGGTCGGCATTTCTGGTCTTGGGTGCCGATTTTTGTGTGTACGAAGAGTAGGGTCAACACGCTTAGTAAAATAATAAGATCTACTTAATAAAGACAGAGGGCAAGTATTTTTCCAAGCGCATGGAATCTAGCGTCAAATTAAGTGATTATGTAATAAATAATTCGTGTTTTTGCTTTCTCCGACTTACTAGATTGCTATAGCGATTCACTCCTATACATGTAAACGCCGACCGAAGGTTTCACTTGCCAGCAGGGTATAACTCTTCATATACGGGGATCCTTCTGTTGTAGGGGGAACAGAGTATTTCCCATCCTCCGCTGACAACAGATGTTCATCTTCCGAGGAGTTATAATATATTATAGGCATCTATCTCCTACGAGGGTATACACCCTTCCACGGTTGGGGTTTAGCCCTCCGCGTCCTTCACAGTCGAGGAACTTGTCTCCAGATGAGGTACCCGTAAGGCAGAGGCTGGAGGATCTGTCTCCATTTTCTGCACCTCTTTAACTTGGCTACAAACATAGTGGGGTATCTCGATGCGTCCTTTATCTATGGTTGACACGGTAAAAGACAGACATAAAAGTCAATAAACCGCGAACTGTGTCAACCAGGCTTTGGTTAGGTTTTTTATCTTTTTATTCAAGGTAAAAACGTATAAGGAAATGTCATGGATGGTCATTTCCAAGACAACTTAATGCAGGGGGTTTCCGATGATATGGTACTATTGTGGAGAGAATAAATTACACTTTTTATGCAGGGTGGGCCAGTTATCAAGAAGTTTTCTAATCTACTTTGGATTTCTTTTTTGAGGCTTATTAATTTCAAAATATGCTGACGTTGATACTGCGTGTTTTAAAACCATTTTTGTTAATATACAGAGTGAGCCAAATTGATTCCTAAAGAACAGTGGTAGTTTTTTTAATAAAAATAATTTCTATTGCAAACATACCACAGTAGAATAATATAACCATTTCAAATTTTCTATACATTTAAAGCTCTCAATATTCTTTTATTGCAAAGTACTTATTAGTATTTCATAAAACTCATCTTTCTTACTTACCATTGGTTCAAACAGGGAAATAAAATAAGTAATCAAATAAAATAACCTACTTCGGTGTACAATGTACAGTGTGGGCATGTGCAATTTTTATTTTATTTAAAAGAATAATGGGGGGGGGGGGAGTTAAAAGCGCAATAAGTACTAGTAAAACCCTTGTCTATATTAATACTTATTGCGCAATTTTTGTTTTTGTTTTCAAAATAGAACCCATGATTTATCTTATCTTTTTTTATGTAATAAGCATCTAATAAACTAGCTGTACTACCCACTAACAAACTTTTTCTAGCCAAACGCCAAAAATCAAGTAAAATTGTTAGAAATGGAATAAAGGATATGGTACAGTAGTCGCAGCCACACAAGGAGTCATAAGCATCATCAATAACGTGACTGCATAGCGACCGCCCGTTGCTTGCGATTGGAGTCTGATTCATAAGCGTGAGCTTAGATTTTAACTTTTATTTATTCTAACGCTATAAAATATGATTTGGAATTATTTCGCGCGGCACTGTTTATCGCCAAGGAGGCGTTGTCCGGTAAAATATTGATGACGCTTCTGAATCCTTCTTTAGTTGTGACCACTCTAAAAAAGTAATGAGCAAAAAGGTAATCATAGTCATTGATAAGTGATTACATCCAGATTATTATTCCTACTTGAAAAAGATGGCCTACTGGGCGGCAAAAAAAAGAGGACACATTTTTCAAGATTAGTATTGACGCATTATGTAATATTTACGTAAAAAGTCCTTCCTCTAAGCGATACGAAACCTTGTCGTTGGTGGGGAAACTACTAGTCAGGTGCTAGGGGAGTCCCCTCTGGCACTTCGGCTGGGTCTAAGGGATTTATAGCCTCGTCTCGAACTGGGTCTCCTAAAAGACCGACAAAATAACAGGCTAACTAGGGATGTGTATACGGGTGACGAAACGTAATCCTGTTATTTTTGTCGGTCTTTTGCATCTCGTGACTGGAGTCGCGTTTTGAGACTCGACTATCATATAAATACGGGCCAAGACGTATAACGATGCCGGATGGGACTACCCTGTCTGTCACACCAGTCACATCCTAACCTAATACAAAATTACATGTGTTAAGCTTGCTCAACTGAAAATTGTGCATATACATAGGTATAAGTAGAAAAAAAAACAGAATATACAATAAAAAAATCTTGTAATTTATTTTCTTTATTAAACCAATGCATTAATAATTTCTAGATTTTAATAGAATCTACTTCTAATAACTATCTTTTTTTAGGATACTATATACAACCAGAACTGTTAAACAAATATAAAGAATTATGCAGTATGTGCAAAAACTGCCTGAAATTTATTTTCAAGCTAAAAGTAATAATTTTCATTTATAGGGCGTACCAAAAATTTAGCAATAAATGGGAATTTTTTATTATTGAGTTATAGAAAAAATGTTTATGAGGAATTTCCTCACCATCCAATAAGCCAAAAAAAATGATTCTCTTTACATGGGTAAAAGGTGGGATTATATGACAATGCATCGAAAAAAAATCAAATGAATGTTTCCAGAATTTGAGTTTACCTCTATATAGTGTGTTTCTGACATGCTAATATTTAAGGAGGTGATTCTTGGACCTATTCTAAGAAAAACATTTCATATGAATATATATCTTAAACATCTTAACTTTTTAGATACAGGGTGGCCAAATTTTCTTTTTTTTTCAAAATATTTCTGATTATGCGTCGGACGAAAAAACTCAAGAGACAAAAAATGTTTAGAAATGAATGGAGATTTTGAAAATAATTTTTATTTTAAGAGAAGTCAGTGGTGTACCACTTTTTTCTCCAAAAATATTCAATGTAAAAACCGTATGGACGGCACTGGTTGAAATAAATAAAATTCTTTGTACACCAAAAAAGGTATTTTGATGCATAGAAGACGTGTATAACGATGCTGTAATAAGATATCTGTAATAAAATCGGAATTATAAAAAAACACCCTGTATACAAAATTTCATAAATATACAAGGACTTTAAAGTTCTAGTTGGTTTTATCAGATTTACCTTGTTTTAAATATTTTACAAAAAAAACATCGACTCTCCGGAAAAATACTAAATAACAAAGTAATTGATTTTTTTAAAGTCTCTGTATACAGGGTGCTACAAATTCGAGGTACGAGCATTGGTATCTCGGTAACCGTAATAGATACGAACATGGTTAAATTGGGGCAAAGTTGCGTTTTAGAATGTTTACCACGATGTAATCAAAAACATTTTAAAAATTTCAAGGATTGCTGAGTTTTTGAAAAAACAACAGAATTTTTTGAAAATCATTTTTATTTTTTCCTGGCGTTACTTTTTAGGAAATGAATAAACTAATTGCACATTCTCATTGCCACTTTATTAGGGCTATTTGATAGTATTTTTAGATTTTCAAATTAGCTGATAATTTGTAAGATACAGGGGCCAACTTAATTTTTTTAAATACGGACCTTCAGCATTCTTTATTTCAGATTTTGAAAGAACTCGGTCTCCTGAGTACAATGATATGCCACACTTAATATTTTTTTTATGTTTTGTACATTTGAACATAATTTTTTAAACTAATTTCAAGTCCGGCTCTGTTTTTTTAAAAGATTTAATCTATTCATCGTTACAATATTGATAAGCTTTAAAACTTAACAATGACGTGGGGTAAAACATTGAATACGGTAAATCAAATGCAATAACTAAATGGGTATTACTTGGCGTCATTTGTAAAAGTGAAATCAATACATTTCAACATTTACAATAAAGAGTATAAAATGCATTCGGAACTATAACAAAAAGTTATGTTCAAAGATCTATAAACAAGATTGAACAAAAAATAAATTTGTGCATTAGGAAGGGTGGTAACCCTTTTGAATATGTAGAGCATTAGAAACTAGTTTATAGAAGTTGATTTATTTATAACAACTATGATTAATATTATGAATATTATTAGATCGTACCCTGAGATTCCAAATTCACAATAAAAAAAGTTAAAAATCATATATTTCTAAATTGCTAACCTAGATATTATTTATTTGAGTCTTTGAATTGGCTCGATTTTCCTTATTCAATGTTAATTAGCGCTGATCACTATTGCTGCGATGAATATAATTAGATTAAATAATTTAAAAAACCAGAGTCGTACTTGAAATTATTTTAAATAATAATTAACTAGTTTTGTTGTTGTTAAGGTACCCAAAACAAAAAAAAGTATATAGTGTGACATATCATTATACTCAGAGACCGAGTCCTTTCAAAACCTGAAATAAAAAATGCAGGTCCGTATTTAAAAAAATTAAGTTGGCCTCTGTATCTCACAAATTATCAATTAATTTGAAAATCTAAAAGTACTATCAGATAGTCCTAATAAAGTGGCTATGAGAATGTGTAATTAGTGTTTGATTTTCTAAAAGTTTCTCTTGTAGTACCCTGTATTTACGAAACTCAGTCAGCAGACGTAAAGTCAAATTTTGAACAATTTTTCTCTTCGAATTTCCGTTAAGTTGTCATCTAACACGTCTAAAGCATTTGTACCATTTCTGTAGTTTGGCGCCTGTGTCGCATGACATGTCAAAATTACTTTATATTCTATTGGATATGCTAACTATTTTATATGGATATGCATCAACTTAAAAAAACTGAATAAAAGAAATTCCATTTGTTGCTGACTTTTTGGCACACCCTGAATATTTAAAATAACAGTCAAACTTGCTAATATTTACTAGCACAAAATGTTTCATAAACATAAGAATAGCCATATCAAAAAATTACACTTAAATATAGAGTACAGAATTACCAAAATGGACACCAACCGATATAGCACTGGCATAAATTCTCATTACTGGTAGCTTGTTGAATAAGCAGATCAACTTGTTTTTGAATAGTAAGCATCTCTTCCGAATGGAAATCTTTGCCTGTTAGTTTATCCCTAACCCTATTTATAATAATCACAGCTTTTTTGCTAACAGTATCAGGCTGAGAACCGTCATTGGGTATTTCAGCAAAAGATTTACGGTTTAGCATGCTAAGTGATTCCATAAAGTCGTTATCTTGAGAGGTTCCTGTGCTAAAGGAACCGACTTCGCCCATTGTCGACTTTTTATGATTTGTCTCAATAAGTCGCCAATTGAGCAATGGGTCATAGACAAAAGCTTCTAGTACGGCCATTAAACTATCTTTATTTCGATGAAGTACCGACATTACACTCTCGCACGTTCGCCGGTAGGTGCCTTCAATGCCCGTCACCTCCATGGCATTGATCAACATACGTGTCAGTCTAAATGGAATTTTTTCCGGGAATTTCTCTCTGTCCATGGCTACCTCAAAACAATCGCCAAAGTCAATATGAAGAATTTTTCCACTGAGCCTGTCCAACATTAGATTTGAAGGATGTCTGTCACCTAGACCTAAGATATAGCCAACCATTGACATTACAGCCAATGATCTGGTGTAATTCGTTCTTCGTTCAAACCATACCTCCGATGAAGGACTCTTAAGCCACAATAGTTTGGCTAAATCGTCTCCATGAGTATGCTCTAAAGCGTGTTCAAATACTTCCACTTTTTGCATCACTGTTAAATGGTCGTAGTCGGGTGCCATACGTAACATTATGCGATGTTCAATATTCAAAAGGATCTTTTTCTTATCTCTGTAATCTCTGATTAAAGTATGTAGGGTGTCACAATGGGGTACCCAACCAATGAGACCTGACTTGGTACTCAAAGGGATAACAACGTATCTTTGTATAGTGAGATTTCTTCTGAAGGTTTCCGGATCTTTCAACAACAAAGTATTTACTAACCCAAACAGTTGCATAACGCGTTCATCTTGGCGAAGGTCTTCGTGACCTTTAAGCAAGAACATATAATCCTTACCGTTACTACCGCGAATTACCAGCTTTCTGGGACGCTGCTTTGAAGTTATGACCTAATAACAATAAATATAAATACACTATCGTTTGTTCTTTATATAAAAAGGTTTACCTCTAAGGATCTGTGGAAATATGCTATTCTAACAATGTCTTGTCCAGGGGCGTAACTACCGGGAACTGCAAGCTCTAAATCTTGACATTTCAATAAATTGGGCGAGACATAATGTAACTCTAATGAGGTTAACTGAGGCAGCTGCCTAGAAATTCTCCTAAATACGTGATAGTAAAGGTCCCAAGCTTGGTTCAAATCTCTTATATTTCCTGAAATAATAAAAATACACAGATTATAATTAGGTGTGGGTTGTTATTTAGTGATCTGTTTGTTTACAACAATGCTTGTAATTAACAGTTCCTAACAGTTGATACTTTATGAAAAATTGTGAAACTTCTTACTAACAGCCATTAAATTGAAGGACTTGAAGGATATGTTTGAAAAAGTGAGTTAGAAAAACTTTCCCAAAATTTGTATTAAAATGACAGTCTGTCCGTCTGAAGACTACATTCGAGTAGAGGTACCCGAATGGTTCCAATCGACCCACGCGACGAGTTTGGTTCCAATCGACCAACAATTAAGAAAACTTGATGATTTCGTCTATTTAGAGGCATCGGTTCGAGACGTCGAGGGCATCATCCGGTAGCCCGTCCCCAACTATGCCGAAATTGACCCAAATTTTTCTTACATATCAAATCCTTAGTCCCACCCTGATGAAGATGTAAACGAAACGTCGTATCCAGCTTTGCAGGGTCAGACCTTGTGCACCGTCGCTCACATAGCCAGCAACTAGCTAGCAACTTCAGTCGCGATCGGACGACATCAACTTTTGACGTTTCTTACGTCAAAACTGTCACAGTGACACATGTCGTACACGACCAAGTTGGCCTTCGTCCAATCTATCGACATATCAAATTTCATTTATGATGGGGTCATACTTCGTGTATTAGTCCTAACCTTATGCTTAACATTAACCCTAAGAAATTAATCTTAAGAACTTAAGGAAATGCTGAAATGCGTTTCTGTTGTTTCTTGTAGTGACTCACTCTGAATTGGTGGTCTGTATTCCCGTTTTTCGTTTGTGAAAGCTGTAAATATGTTTACGAATTTTCAGAAAATTTGATGATTTGGGAATTTGATGATTTGAGGAAGAAGAAAAAGAAGCAAAGAATAAAAGAGAGAAATATATGGATTCATAGTGCCTAGAAAACAAGACAAGAGACAAGTACAGGGAGAATTTCGAACATTTATTAGGATATTCCAAATATCTGCTATTCGCCATCGTATGATCACCATAATTTCGCAAAGGTACATGTCAAACGATACGTTTACCTATGTCTTTGGTCGTGCTTTATCTACTGTAAATTTTAATTCAAAGGTGCATTTCGAAATTTTGTGGATTTTGTCTGTCGAATACGTCTTTTCTCGCTGAACAGGCTATTTTTTATTATGTTTTGGCCAGCTTGAAACACGTTAAAGGACTTAAATATACAGGGTGGTCCGAATTGTATTCAGGAAACTTTGCCAGCATATTCTGCAGACAAAAATAAGTAAAAAAGTTCGTATAAAAGTATGTTCTAAAATGCTTAGTATCGGAGATACAGGATGTAGAAGTTTCATTTTTATTTCGATTTTTTCCAGATAATTTATGAGGTAACGCCAATATTTGGATAAAAATTGGTGCTTGGAATTTTTTTGATATGAGAAATTTGATTTTAATGTCAATATGACTCCTACTTGTAGAGGGCGCCACCTACATATTTCTTAACTGGTTTGAAGAATAATAACTTTTCGTCCGTACCTGTATAAAACCACTGAGTAAAAGAATATACATTTACGACGTTTTTTACGTAAAAAAGTCTCTTGGTAAAAATCGCTGCGAGTAATAGTTCTCGAGATATTTGGAATCTAAATTATCAATACCTGTCATCATTGACATAAATTAAACATGTTGACTACATAGTTATTAGACTGAAACCCTAATTTGAAATGTTTTTGTGTCAAAAGTTCAACAGACTTATTATCATTTTTTCGAAGAAAAATTTGATGATTAAATTAAACAAATAAAAAGTTTCGAAATTTATCATTTCAGTCAAATAACTATCTACTCAACATGTTTATTTTTGTCAATAATGACATGTATCGACTGCTCCTATTCTAAATATCTTGAGAACGGTTGCTCGCAGCGATTGTTACGAAGAGACATTTTTTACGTAAAAAATCACGGAAATGTATATTTTATTCACTCAGTGGTTTTATACAGGTATGAAAGAAAAGTTAATACTCTTCAAAACAGTTAAATTACATGTAGGTGGCGCCCCCTACAAACTGGAGTCATATTGACATCAAAATCAAATTTCTCACGTCAAAAAACTCACAGATACCAATTTTCATCCAAATATTGACGTTACTTCAGAAATTATTTGGAAAAAATCGAAATACAAATGAAACTTTTTGACTCTGTATCTCCGAAACTAATGATTTTAGGACATACACTTACAGGATCTATTTTACATATTTTTATCTGCACAATATGCTGTCGAAGTTTCCGGAATACAGTTCGGACCACCCTGTATATATACGCGGAAGGTACCAAAATTACCAATACACAATTAATAACAAAATAAAGTAAAATTTAAAACAATTATGACATAGACCATACCTACTTTCTTTTTTTTATACAGAATGTTAAATAATTCATGAAGATTTCAAAACTTCATAAGAAAATACTAAAATGTTAGTTACAAGCCACGGTTTAGTTGACACAACAGATTAAAAAATCATACAGATTTTCTTGTTTACAAAACTTTTGAAATATCTATAAGTATTATTACCTGTTTGTTTAAATCTTTGGCACCACTCGTGAGCTTCACCTAAATCACGTCCATAAGCTTGAGTAAAACTAGTTTCTTTCAGCGTCTGCGGACCTCTAGCCATCATCCGATGTAGAGGCTCCAAAATTCGAAGCATACCATCAGTATTCTTTTCGCCGAAATACAATCTATCCAAAAATATAAATCTCTTATCACATATTTTAATATTCATAATTTATATTACCTAGAAGCTTCTTCTAGCCCTTCGTGCCACATTTCGTGCCATAAAATGGCCACTCTGATCAGTTCATCTGAAGCCATTATAGCTTGTCTGACAAGTGTAGGCGAATGTTCACTCATCGATTTTAATATTTTATCTGCCGCGTTTCTCCTTATAGGCGAACTGCTTTTTGAAGCGACAGTTAAGGGATAGACTAGAGCCTAAATATAAAATACAAAAATATTTTTTAAGTTTCTTCGCAAAATATTTAATATCTTACTTGAGGATGAATTTTTCCTATATCTACTAAAAGGTCATTTATAAGTTTAGGAACTAACAGACGATTTGTGTCGATGCGAGCTATTAACTGTGGAATAACTTGCAACCATGTGTTCTTATCCACCATTTTGATACCATCAGATATAGCGTTTGAAACTTGATCTAAATGGCCATATTCAAACCAAAGAGTGAGTAATCGCAAAGTGTCTTGCAAAGAACTTCCTTTAGATAAATAAATCGATCTAAAAATTAACATAAATTTTAGTATTATTCTATACAATCTCAAGTATAATATATACAGGGTCCGGCAATAGTGCGTCGGACATCTGTAGCTCCTAGAATAAAAAAACTCGGGAATTTTCTTTAAGTGGAAACTTGAAGTATATGTATACTAGGATGTATTTCAGGAAAATATTTTAGCTTAGAGTGGCTCAAAAAAGTGTGAGTGGAACGGGATATTTTTTTAAACGGAACACCCTGTATATTATTGAATTTTTGGCTTCCTTTCAGATCACTTTACATAATCCTAAGATATGAATAAATACATTTCGATAGTTTCAGAGATGTTAATAAATAAATAAAAAATATATTTTTTTTCAGCCTTTAAAAATACAATAGATGTACTGAAATCAAAACTATACTAGGTTTTTACATTAGATGGTCTCTACTTACTTTGCTATAAATATGATAATTGTAAATCATACAGGATGTTCAAAATTCTACGCTAAACTTTCCAAAATATAAAAATTTTTTCGTTTTTTTTTAATGGAATACCCTGTATATTATATTTTCAATAGATGGAGAATTAAAAAAAGAGCATTTTTTGTATGTAAAGTATTTCAGAGCCATATGAAATAATACTGCGTGGATCTGCGAAACCATTATATATTTTGAAATACTTTAAATGGAAAAAATGTTAATTTTTAACTCTCCATCTAATAAAAAAGAATATACAGGGTGTTACCTAACCCAAATACTAAAACTTTAACACATTTAAAAAAGCAAAGAAAATTTATTTCATATTTTAGAAAGTTTGGCGTAGAATTTTGAATACCCTGTATGATTTAAGATTACGATATTTATAGCAAAGTAAGTATAGACCATCTAAAGGAAATATTTTATTATAGTTTTGATTTCAGGATAGTTCTTGTATTTTTAATATTTTTTTTAAGAAAGGCTGAAATTAAAGGCTTAATATCTCTGAAGCTAACAAAATATATTTACTCATATCTTAGGATTATGTAAAGTGAAGGCAGCCAAAAATGCAATAATATACAGTGTGTTCCATTTTAAAAAAAATCATCCCGATCCTCTCATAATTTTTTGAGCCATCTTATAGAAGTTAAAATATTTTCCTGAAATATATCCTCGTACATACTGTGTAGGTGCACTTTAACAAAATTCAGAAGTTTTTATTCTAGGAGCTATGCCCGACGCACGATTGCCGGACCCTGTATATGCATTAAATGGTAAACTTGTGCTCTAAAATTTTTAAAAAGATATTTAAGGGTCGGCATTTCTGGTCTTGGGTGCCAATTTTCGTGTGTACGAAGAGTACAGTCAACACGCTTAGTAAAATAAGATGTACTGAATAAAGACAGAAGGCAAGTATTTTCCTAAGCGCATGGAATCTAGCGTCAAATTAAGTGACTATGTAATAAATAGTTCGTATTTTTGCTCTCTCCGACTTACTAGATTGCCATAGCGATTCACTCCTATACATGTAAACGCCGACAAAAAGTTTCTCTTGCCAGCAGGGTATAAACTCATTTACTTGTTCGAAATTCCTGACGATAAATGTGACATACAGTGTGAACAGCACTATTCGTATACCACGCCGGCAACTTTTACTTTCTGATTGGTATTTACCTGTGTGGAAGTGAATCGCTTAGGGATTTTAATAAGTCGGCGTAAGAAAAATGCGACGGTGTGATGTTGCGGCGTTGCCACATTTCTCAGAGATACAAGTACGCCTTTCCCTGTCTAGTGTAGTAAGTCACTGTCGAAAGGCGCTTATTTTTAAGTCTAATCTTAAAAAAGATAACTGCATAAAATCACTCGATATGTTTCTAGGCATCTGAAATCGAGTTATAGAATATCGTTAGGGTGACTATTTTATAATGAAAAAACGTCAGTAATCGCGGTAATTTGAAAACTCAACTTTTTAACACATAATACGCGATAGCTCAAAAACTATTTTAGATATTGAAACTTTCTGATTTTATATTGAAGTTCGGATCTTTGACAACATGTTTAAATGAGAAAAATTCCACAAGTTTGTTTCTTTTCTGTTCAAGAAGTTTAAAAAACGCGTCTATTTACTTTTAGTGCATAGCAATTTCCACTAATAATGTGTAACTTTTTTATTTGTAAATATTTTCACATATTGTCTGCGAAGAAAATATAGCAGAAACGTTAAGAAAGTTTTTTTTTAAACTACAATCAATTATTGCTAATGGATTTCGAGATATTGATTTTTGAATTCAGAGTTATAGCGCAACCACTGTCTAGCACAAACTCGGTTCAACTTATTTTTACCAAAAGTGGTAAACGTTTGAGCATTTTACAATCGTTTTTTAATTTCTTGTATGTCTTGTTTTTAATAACTTGTATTTAAAAACCTATAAGCAATAAGAAAAATACAACAACGATTCGTTGACGTCGCCGTTTTGAAACCGCGCCGCCCGGTTTGTACGTTCCAATGTTCCAATTAGTCAGTGTGCACGATGTCTAAGCCGGAGTCTCATGCATCCGAAATCCGATGATACGACATCCGAAATTTGAAGTTATCGTGTGAAATAAAAAAAACCTGTCACATACATCCGAAAGTTCGTTCCGAAATTTGACAGTTTTGACATTTAGACCTGTCATTCCTATGTATTATTATTATGTATTATTCCATGTATTATTGGAGAAACACTTATAAAAATAACTTCCTCGCCAAATATCCCGAAATTGCCCACTTCCCACTAAACTTGATTTTAAAAACCAATGTTTTCAAAAAAAGTGAGGTTAAAAAACACACGATATCGTACAAAAGTTAAACAAAATTTAACTTTATACGCTGTCGGACGATTAGTTAAAAATATAGAATAAAAATTGGTGTCAAAATATTTCGACCAATAGGAGCACCGTCGGATCGTCGTGTCATCGGATTTCGGATGCATGAGACTCCGGCTTTAAGGCTTGATTTTCATGCATCCGTTATACGTTGATTCGTTGATACGATGGTCCGACGGTGCTCTGATTGGTCATAGCGTTTTCGCGCCACTTTTCATCTGTAAATATTTTACTTCAGCCCGTCAACAAAGCCCGTTTTTGACAAATTTAATTAGACCTTAATAAAAATATAAGTAAAATAGCAAAATCGTTATGGAAACGAAAATATAAAATAACACCAACGTATATCCGATAAACGGAGGCATGAAAATGCAATAAATTTAAAAACTGCGTTATTTTCTAACCAATCAAAGTCTTTATAATTATCTTTTTAATTTAATATCGTATCAACGTATCGTCGGACAACGGATACATGAAAATCAAGCTTAAGACTGCATATTGCAAAGTACTTACTTGAAAAAACCTTTAACTGCCAAAACGGCATGTTCATTCATATCAATATCTTGGTAGCCCCCATCTGGTTTGCTAGCTAGATTGTCTCCTTCCTTATCTTGTTTATGCTTGTACAAAAGGACAGTTTCAAAATTAATGTAAGCCCAAGAATGCCAGGCTTTGTACCAATCCTTATCAAATTCAGTCGCCTTTTCGTAGCATTTTAAAACAGACCTAATTGAACTCGCGGTAATACCTTCGAGATTTTCTTGCCATGATCCTAATTTTAGGTAACACCTAAAAATAAAACATGTTACAAATGCCTTCAAACACCTTTGTTTACATACCTGGCTAATAATCTCTGTCTTTCTTCTAAACTACTGTCGATTCCTTCCATTTTTACATAAGACTTCAAAAACATTTGTAACTGATCATAAGCTCTTTTCTTCTGATCCACTTGCCAAAGGTGCTTGCAATAAGCAAATGTTACGTGAGGTTGAGTTACAGGTAAAGGTTTATCTAGATAAGACTCAGGATCATATTCAAGAAGCATTAATAATGTTTTATGGGACAATTTCTGTAAGCAAAACATATAAGTATATCTTTATTGCTAAATTTTGTTTATACTAACTAAAGAGCCATTTTTCCTACACAAAGAAGCATATTTAAGCCACGTCTGTACATCTTCATGTGGCTGTAGAACTAAAGAATGAACCTGAATAATTTTTTGCCAGTCTTCCACAAGTCTTTGTCCAGACTGTAACCTTTGCCACCACATTTGTTTTAAAATGTCTCTTCTTTCAGGGACAAGTTTATATTGCATTACCTAAAAAAGTTCAATAAAATGTGAAAATATTGATAAAACGATTCTTTTTTAAAAGTAAGAGGATTTTCCCGTACATTTTTCGATATCACAACTTCCTTTAAAAAGTTTCTTCCTTTAAAAACAAGATCGGATAAAAGATTACTAAGTTATTCATAAAAAAAATTAAGTTTTACAAGTTTGACACCTTATATATTGAATGAAACAAAAAAAAAGATGTAAAATTTATATTTACCTCTTCCAGTTCACTTAACATCTGCACTTGAACCATTGCCCCATAAGCTCTCTGATAGCTTTCACCAGCCATAGCTGTCAATTCAGTATCGATCATGTCTCTAGTAATATCAATAAAGTCTTGAGCCAATTTAAATTGGTCTTTATGTATTGCCAGCACAGCGCGATAAAACGAACCATCTTGCGTATCTTGAGGAATGACATTAATATATCTAAATAAAAAATTAATTTACAGTTTACCAATACAATTTAAATAAGATAAATATACTTTTCCATAGATCCAAAATTATGTAAACCAAAAGAAGAAGCTAACGCTAATCGACAAGCTTTTTGTTTGTTGTCATCGTTCAAATGATTGAACCGGCTTTCTACAAAATCATGAAGTTGTCCCCATTCACCTAAAGCTTCTAAACATCTGTAAAATAATGGATGTTAAGAAAGAGTCTACAGAGTTTAATTTGTTGAAGTAGGTATTTAATTAATAGATAAAACATTACCTCATTTGACCTAAACATGCATCTTGATCAACTGGATCAGTTTTCAATTTTTCTACATAAAGACCCAAAGCTTTGTCCCAGTTATGAAGTTTTTCATACCATCTTACCTATAAATATAAATAAAAAATCTTGTATCGGTCGATACTACACGATTGTATCTTTCGATACTAAACTATTTCCTTACTTGAACTTGAACTTCACCAGCTTGTCTCATGACATGCTGAAGTAAACCCTCAGCTGCCTCTTTTTGTTGGAGCTTATTATTTATAGAAATTAAAGATTCAATAACGTGATTAACTTTCACATTTGTCCGTAAAAAATCCTCCTCTTTATAATGTAAAGCTTTTGCATATGCTCTGGAATAATTATTTTTTTGAGTTTATTTTTTTAATTAATCAGGAATACAATATACCTGCAGTGCATTGCCTGCTCACCAAGCAAACGACCGTCTAAAGGAAGGGGTCCTTTATCACAATGTTCCATGAATTCAGCCAAATTTAATATAGTTTGTGTTATTTCTGGTACATCCGGTACTGTCAAAGCTTGTTCCAAACAACCTATAAAATTATACTGAACTAAAATGTTCCTTAGTTAACATAATAAGCTGTTTACCAATTAATTCCTTTTGCATATTATCACTTAACTCAGTCCAACAACTGACGAAAGCCGCATTGAAAAGATCCCTCGGTAACTGAGAATAAATTTGAGCTAGTTGTGAACAAGACTTTATAGAGGGTATTGGTGATTCTTTAAGAAATTCTAGGCTCAGTCTCTTTAACCATTCAAGCCAATCATCCTGAAATAATACGAAGAAATAAATATACTACTTATAAGGTTCTAATGTATTACTTTAGAAACTCTCCTAAGTGGTATCCAGGCTTGTTGCAAATTCTGCTCCGACATTTTCATTCTTTGTGGCATTGTTGAACTATCAGTCGATAAACCTACTTCTCCTCTATTTTTTCTATTCCTACAAAAAGTTAACATACTGTATTTAACTCCTTAAGTAACCTGGGTGAATGGAAATTGGGCACAATAGTAATACAACAGTGCATGTGTCTTTATAATGGCGCGGAACGTTAAATTAGAAATCGTACCTTACTGGTATGTTACTTGTATGTCAACTATCCTAATTTTTTTAGATATTGAGGGAGCATTCTACTACCAACTCATTAGTAAATGCAATGAGTAGAAGAGGTACACCTGCAGTAGTATGAAGATTGATAAAGGCCGCCTTAGAACACAAGCAGTAGTGGATGGAGGTTGTTCACAGGGAGGAGTTTTATCTCCTCTACTTTGGGCAACCTTGGTACATGACCTCTTCAACGAATTGTCCACACAAGACTTTTATTGCCTAGGATATGTAGACGGCATTGTAATTGCGGTCAGAGGTAAATTTGCTGGGATGCAGAGACCCCTGGGGCCATAACATATAATAAAGCAGACAAGTGGTGTAAACAAAACAGATTTACAGTCAATACTCAGGAAACAAATTGTCAACTTTACAAAAAAGATAGCACCAAAAGACCTTAAACAACGGACGCTAGGAGAAACAGAAATTGCATTTACCAAAGAAACAACATATCTTGAGGTATATTTTGATCAAATAAAAAAGGCTCACATAGAATACGCACATATCGAAAGCAACACACAAGGCTGCTATCTCTTTAGGTAGGAGCAGAAGGATGTATGAAAAAAAAAACTGAAGCTTAACCCTTTTGTATTTTACTAAGAGTGAGTCCCAGGTGGGACCCTCCACTGAGGCCGCGAGGGCCTATTGTGGTTCGCTTAACCCTAAAATTACTCTATGGTTAAACACAAGAGTTGTAAGATCCATGATAACCAACGGGTCGGTGCCGGTGGTGTACAAAGGCTTGTTTGCCTGTGTGTAACGGGAGCCATGAAAATCACCCCCACAAATGCGATGGAAGTTTTGTTGAACTTACCACCACTACACATCATGCAAGGCAAACCACTTGTCATGCACAGGTTAATTCACGGTCATCAGCACATAGCTAGACGCGTAGTGCTAAAAATCAGAAGCTAATCGAAGAGCTGAAAGCAGACAATGTATTTAGATACAACAGCTACAAGGGATAGCTTTAACAACAAATTTAACATAACAATACCAGAAAGGGAAGACTGGATAAAACGTGTACCCGTTCAAGCCGAGGAAACCTGGTATACAGACGGCTCAAGCACATCGGAAGGTGTAGGAGCACGAATAGTAGGGCCGAAGCAAGGAATATCTTTGCAAGGTAAACCCAGGATGTCACAATTTTCCAGGCGGAATTAACGGGAATCCACTATTGTGTAGCAGAAATAATAGGTAGCAAAGAACACCGCCATCTTCCAAGACGGCCAAGCAACGCTAAAGGCACTCGGTTCCATGGAGGTCAATTCTAAACTAGTGTGAGATTATGTGTGTGCTCTAAATACGTTGGGTGAGCGTTGGGTGCTCAGTACCAGTACCAGGCTGGGTACCAGGCTAACGTAATATCGCTAAACCTGACTAAATTGAATTTTGGCAAAAATGTTTAAATTTGTTGTATAATTAAGATACCGAGCAGCTCTTCATTTTACTTTATAGGGCAAATTATTGTAACAGATATTTTATTTAGATTAAAGCTCCAAAAATTAGTGTAAACCGAATTTTATTATCGCTATGTTGGTCACATTGCGCCGTGTTCAGCAATGTTATCCTTTATTATTTGACAATTATCCTAATGTCAGTCATTATTTTGTATAATATCGTGTTGTTGTTGTCATTCACAAATAATTGTTTTTTATTAAAATGTGATTAAACAAATACTTCAACCTTTCTGAGTCGCTTAAAGAGATTCTAAGAACAACTGTTAAAAAAATTTGACAAATAAGCTATTATTAGTGAAAATATGAATAAGTTTGTAAAAATCTGAAATTTTTTTACCAAGAAATATTTGTCTGGTTTTTTTATTATCATAAAATATGACAATTCAAACAAGTTCCAAAATGTGATAGCTAATGATTTTACGTTTTAAATGAACTTTGAATCATCAAAAAATATTAAATTTTAACCAAGTTATTAACAATTTGTCCTATCAATCAATGATACGCTTATGAAATCTATCTTCGGAGCGTTAAGACTTGTAGAGAAAATTCAGGGATCTTCAAGGCGGAATATCTCGCGAACTACGTAAAAATTATAAGGTCCTTTTTTGTAGGTAAGTATGTAAACTTCGTTTTTTATTCCAAGAAAATTTTTATAACCTGCATATTTTGGCAGATATTTGCAAAAAACTGATTTTTGGGTCATTTTTTCAATCAAAGCTGGCTGAGAACGGTATAAAAATTTTCTCCTAAAACTACTCCCCAAAAAGTACACAATCGGCCTGAGAAGTCCCGGTCGACGAATTAGGCCGCGGTTTCAACCTGTATTACTATTTTTATTCAATGCTATAATCAAAATAAATTACGACAATGCCTAGGAAAATATGACAATTTTAAATTCAATTACTTACCGACTGCGAGGAATTGGAAGGTCAAGTTCGCTAGCCATTGTACTTTCAGACTGAATTTGACAAACCAAAGTTTCCCATCTAGAAATTTCAAAATTTAGTAAATAAATCTTGCAGTATCAATACAAACTGCACCTCCTATTATTAATCTTATGTTTAGCAACCACTTTTTGTACCATCGGCACAAACACTTGGAATCGTCGGCCCAACTGAGTCACCAGAGAACACAAAGTATCCAGAGCTGTGTCTCGTAGATCCGGATTTTTATCGATCGTTCTCACCAAAGGATGGGTTAGACGCGAGATATAATCGGATAAATCGATCGATTCTGCTATTTGATCTATAGTTTCTAGAGCTTGTTTCGATACAGGAACAGGACAATCTGGCGCATCGATAAGCCTACAACCAATATTTATAAAATAACTTGGACAATTAAATAATTGACGTATGTAATTACCGAACAATAGGCGGCAATATCAGATGCATATAATCCTCCAAATTGTTTCCAAACTTATGTAAAGCACTCAATAGTCTTATTGTATTGAGCCTCTCTTTTGACGTATCATGATTTAAAACACGCAAAATCTGAGGAATAAGTCTAGGTAGATATTCTTTGAATTCCGCTCCTAAAGCTTCAGCTATATTTTCCAGTAGCAAAATAATTGTACCTAAATAAAAAAAAATAGTACACATAATATTTAGATTTTATATATACAACTGAGGTTTGGTATATTTGAACTACTCATAATACACATGGCAAAATACTTATCGTAAACATATAACATTTTGGTTGCTTGTATAGGGTGTTTCAAAAAACATGTGCCATCTCTCGTGGGGAGATTCCGCACATAAAAATACGATTTATTTCTTATATCACCATAGGTCCGATAGGTCCATGGTCTATAAAAACCGTTGACGTTCAACGGTTTTAGTAGACGTATCTCTTAGTAGCTTTTTCTTTGTTCTCTGTGATTTTTGCTTCCGACGATGGGTAGAGATATACTTCCAGAAACATTAAGCATTTTTTGTCAGTTAGACAATTTTTTTTATTAGTAAATCACTGATGACAAATTGGTCTCCGTGAGTCCCCTTTTCGTGAGGAATCTCCCCACGAGAGATGGCACATGTTTTTTGAAAAACCCTGTATAAAAGAATATGAGCTATCTAGATAAAATATTTTTGATCACGCAGTGAGGCCAGATTTGTTCAATCGCAATTTACTGTAAAATGCTTCAATGGACCACAAAATTACATTTGCAACAAAATCGCAAATTGCAACTCCTAAAATTTAAAACTCGCCGAGAGAAGGTTTCACGGTCTTAGTTTACAAAATCACAATCGCAAAAAAATCGCAAATCGCAGCAAAATCGCAACTATAGTAATATTGATTGCCTACAATGAAACTCGCAAGTAGAAGAAATCGCAAATTGTAGTAAAATCGCAAATCGCAACTATAGTAATATTGGTAGCATAAATTGAAATTCGCAAATAGCAGTTTCCCATGACAGTCAATTGCAGGTTGCGATTGCAATTTTAAAATCGCTGCGATTAAATTGCAGTTTGCGATTTGTTGCTCATCTCTAGTTAAATTTATAATATTGCCATAAGCCACCTACCCAAAAACTCTACGTTAACAAGAACAGAAATTGATTTTATAAACTACCTGTGAAGTATATAAACCAGCTATTTTTGTGAACTAACATAAAATCACTGCTATTTTTCAAGAATGGGCGAATTCCTCCAAATAGCTCAAACAGCGTTTACTTAGTTTGCGAAATTGCTGGTTAGTTTTAAAACTAGCAAAGTATCTATTTTAGTCATAACTTAAAATGGTTAATTACAAATCTATTGATTTTAATTTTTATTATCTAATAGTAATGTAATTGTTACCTTGAATAGAATAATTTGTCCAAAATTCTTTAATCAAATCGCATATATCATCTAAATAATTCCTGATGTGTTGCTTTACTATAGCAATCAACTGTGCCAGCTGTTGAAATAGAAATTCTTTAAAATTTATATCAGCTGTTCGAACTACATTTAACAAACTAGGAAGAACCTGGAAATATCCAAAAAATAAATAAACTAGTACAGTAAAAAATTGATAATAATTTTACCTGGGATATATATGGTACACATTTAATTCCTAAACTCTTGAATGTAAACGTTATAGCTTGTACAACCATGGTATGGTACTGTGATAATGTAGGGTCTTTAATAATTTTTAAAAGAGTTGCTATTGTCATTGCTAGAAAAGAAAATAAGTTAATAACAAATAATTGAAGTTATACACTGGGTAAACCTAAATAATATTCTTCTAAGGTGCTTGAGCTCATGTTGACTAACATTTCACTTGATGTGAGATCACTATCCTCCCCAACATTCTTGTCAGGCATTGGTATCAAAGTTGGAGCCTCAGGTTGATAATCTATTTCGCCCCTATACATTTTATGTTTATATGGATCCAATGCGCCTAAAATAAAATTAATAAAAAAGTCAATATTCAACATTACCCTAGTATAAGGAGAACGACAGCGTTACACTTCAAATATTCATTGATAAAACTCGGCAGATTGTTGACAGAAAAAGGCGCGGTGCCAGCGAGGATGCAATCGAGCTGTGAGGTTCGAGTGTTACGCCACAGTACAGAGTTGGACTGATGAAATGAGTGCGTTATTGTGTAATGCAATTGTGTGTTTATTGTAGCTGTGTTTGTGTCTTCTGTAACTCATATAGTGTTTAAAACATAATTTAGTTAATTCATTTTTAAAGCTAAGTGAGTACATTTTAGTACATTAGTTATTTTATATTTCTCTTATGAATTATAGTTACCAAGTTTAGATCTTATAATAGGTAAATTCCAAATAAAATACACAATATGAACAAGAAAGAAATAGAGAGGGAAATGTATAAAAAAGAAGAAAACGATTAAACGGCTCAGCCCTCAACAACTCGTAACCATATACACCAGTACAGACATGCACACTCACACACTCACGCAACCACACCTACACTAGTGTACACTGGTGTATACGGTTACGAGTTGTTGAGGGCTGAGCCGTTTAATCTTTTTCTTCTTTAAAATACAGAATGTTTCTGTTTAATATTTTAATCAAATATGTCCCCCGGGACACTATAAGGTCATTCTAAGTATTTAGCTGGCCCGTGTGCACATATAATCCGTGCACTGCACGGGTGCAGCACCAGAGCCGGGGCTCACTTAAGTCAAGTAGGCTGCCTGCCAACTTACTTGGATGCTACGAAGCTGTCCAACTCGACTTTTATAAAACCGTTGAAACCATACAAAGAGTGTAGAAATAAGAGGGGGGCAACATTTATACCGGGTGCGTCTCAAAAGTGGCTCACCCCTTTAACATTTTATTTTTTCAGATAGAAAAACTAGATTTGGTATGTTAGTATATGACATAAATTAAGATTGATTGACGTATTCAATTATTTTCGGTCAAGTTTCACCGGAAATGACTACAACTTTTGATTTTTAAATAGCACCCTCGGTATATTTTTACTGTATTCGATAGAAAATGACACTCTGAATAGAACGACATATCATACGTCAACTTTCGACATTTTTGCATATGGTTTATTTCAAATTGTAACATAGGGTTCATTAACGACAATTTGACTCGAAATACCAAGTGTGTGGTATCAAATTATTCATAAAAAATGCTCTTTCCAATTATGCTAATGAGCCACCCTTGTTCCATTTGAAAAAATTGAGATATGATTAAAAATACGATATGGGCATCTTTTAACTGGCCAGGACAAGACACAAAAAACATTAGACAATTAAATGTATCATACCGAGGCTCCTTGATTAAAAATGAGTGTTTTCAACACAGTCATGGTACTCTAGATTAAAATTTAAAATACGATTTTTTAAGTAAAAATGTCAAAAGTTCACATATGATATGTCATTTTCACACATGATATGTCACTGTTTGTTAGACTTTTAAATCTAATTAATAAAACTTTAACTTTGTGATATGTTAATGTTAAGGTTAGGTTTAGCTATTTTACTATTTACTATTTTCTGTCACTGTAATTTTTTTATATTGGGCAATTATTGTCCGTTGATAAATAAATAATAATAATAATAATAATTTTATTCAGAGTGTCATTTTCTATCGAATAAAGTAAAAAAATACCGAGGGTGCCATTTAAAAATCAAAAGTTGTAGTCATTTCCGGTGAAACCGGAAGTGACCGAAAACAATTGAATACTCAATCCCAATTTATGTCATATACTAACATACCAAATATCATTGTTTTTTTCTGAAAAAATAAAAAGTTATAGGGGTGAGCCACTTTTGAGACGCACCCGGTATATTTATAATGGCAGCATCAGGTTGCCTTGGGCCCAGTAGACTTTGACTGTGTCAACCCGGCTTTATTAAAGCTTAGCGTGCTATATATAAATACAAAAAACTTTAGTAGACGGGGTTTGTAGTAAAAAAAAAACTTTAATTTACAGCCCTAGATTAGATTAACAAATTGATAGTCCAAAAAAGTAATTTTTGGATTTGGTTGCCTGACAGCTTCTATTTCTAAGGTTATGCATCCCTAAAGTATTGTACCACGCGCCGCCACTGTCTGTAGGTACCTCGTAGCGAAAACAAGTCATAGAATATGTCAGAAAAAAATATAAAAGGATTTGGCGAGAAGTGAAGCTACTAGTTTCTTTATACCATTATATTAGTTCAAGTTTACAAACCCAGAAGACCTAGAACTCTAATTGTTTCTCTTCTTATATAAGGATGTTGCTCCGTTTTTAAGAAATTTATTAATACATCGAGCAAAACTGGATACTTGTTGTAAGGTCTGACTACATGTCCTGTTGCACCTACTAACTGACCCAATGTAACTAAGGCTGCAAATCTTTTATCTGGAGCTGAAGCATCACCAAGAATATCTAACAAAATTCCCTAAAAATCCAACTTGAATGGTTGGTTCTTGTTTATTATAAGAGTGAATAAATACCATAAGATCCTTCATCCAAATTTGTAGCTCTGAATCCCCTCCAGTCACCTCTGCTAAGTCACCAATTGTATAGAGAGCAGATAATACAACACCAGGATTCGGTTCGGGTTCTTTTAACTTAGGAACAAGTACCTAAAAATGATATATTTGCATATAACTTCAATACAAATAATAAATGAAATTTTACATGTAAAATTGGTTCCATATATGGACGAATCAACCTGGGCCCTCTAACAACTAAATGATCTAAGAGAGTGGCTGCCTGTTCCTTATTTCTGCCACTTCCTGAGTGTTCTACTTCAGTCAACAACTGAACCAGAACTCTCCTTAAACTTGGCATGATATAGGCAGGATTCATACAACTTAAACGTCCTATGGTAAACAAAGCTACCTGAAAAAAATTTATAAACAATGTTTAACTTTTAAAATATAATGTTTCAGATATATACTTCTCTTATTTTAAATTCTTCATCTTCGAGTGCCATACAAAGTCCTTCAAGAGTCTCTGATTGAGACAAGTGATGATCGAATGTAGAATCTAAAGATGTTAAAACTCCATAACGTACTTGTGCTTCACTGTCTGTAAGCCCGACACCTAAAATATAAAAAATACTTCCATATATATTTGACTCAATTTCTCTTTTATTTCTATTATTTATTTTGAAAAAAAAATGGGGAATATGGGTTATTATCAATTTATTTATAGAAAAAACAAACTTTTGTATCTTAATTCAAAATTCAAAGTCAAAGTGTGGCGTATTTGAAAAGAAATATGAGAATATATAGCTCTAAAGTTCAAAGAAAAATATAATAAAATGTTTTAAAATTGTATAATTTGTGTAACAAACATGATAAACAATTAGCGGTGACTGGTAGATTTTTTATGTACTCATCTCTGATTCTGGACATGGGACCCACACAGAATTTTTGTGAATTAACTTAGCTCTATCTAGAAACATTTTTGTGTTATTAAAAACAATTTTAAAATTTGGGATCTTTTTTATTTTTGTGCCTGCACAGCAAAAGCAATTATTAAAATCAAAAAGTAATTTTGTTTTTATTTTTATTATAATTTTTGTTAAATTTTAACAAAATAATTTAACATGGTTAAAAAATCATAACCACTGTAAAAATACAACCCTTTATTAAATTGTTATTTGGGAAGAAAATTAAAAATTATTAAAAATGCTGTAATTTCATGGTCATTTTCATTTTCTTGGCAATGCATGCTTATCCCTGATATTAACCATTAAATAATGTAATAAAAAATATGCTGCTTACTTAACAATTTTTGTAAAACATCTGCCACAGTTCTAGCAACGGTATCACTCTGATATTTATCACTACAATTTATAGCATGACGTAATAGTCTACTGGTAGTTCGTACTGCTTCAATCCTAATTTCTTTCACCTCATGCACTAAAAAGTGCTTGGCACACCTTTGGACAAATGGTAACAGCCTCTGACCTTCAAAATCAAACGTTCCAAGTGTATGCAGTGCTAACACAATTAACTGGGTGTCATTTGTATCAATTCCCATGGAAGCAAAGTTAGCATTTAAGTTTCTGGGCATACCAGGATGTAATAATGGTTTATTTAAAAGAATACAAGATAACATCTTTAATAAACCTAAACTAATTCTGTCCTTGTGAACAGGTACTTTTTTAGCCAGTTCCCTTAAACAAATTGTTAAGGATGGACTTAAAGCTGTTGCAAGAATTTGTTCCAACATATTTGGAATATCCATCTTATCATGTCTCTTCAGAGCTGTTGCCAAAAATGTTATACATTTAAATACGCAACTATCGATGACAGGACGCCTTTTACTAGGTGTTTCGCTTTTTGGTAAAGCTCCTTTTATTAATTCCATTATACGATCAACATAAGGTTCTATCTTCTCTTCTACAGCAACAGCGATCAAACCTTAAAATAAATATGTATGTGTAGTAATTCCTATATTAACTAAAATTATATGAACAAATACCTATGGTTATAAAAGCTGTGTTCCTATCCTTTTCTCTTCCTTTCAGTATTACAAATAAATGATTCATTGCATTAGGTAAATGCCCTTCAACAAAACTTTTCTTATCAAAAGCAGCCAACCTGGGTAGAATTGTTAACAAAGTTTGTTGAACAAAATTTACTCTTAAAAATCTTTGAGCTAAAACATCTATGCAAATATATTTAAAATTTTCAGCAACTAGCTGTCGACATATTGATGATTCTAAAATTATAGGTTTTCCTGGAGCCAGAGCTGTTAATATTGTATCATCTGATTTCTTTTTTGTATGAATTGGATACATAAAAGGTGGTCTATTAAAGCTAAAGTCTTCGTTTTCTAAAGATGGTTTAGGATCAGTACTCTCTTGAAGAGCAATATATTTTCTTTCCCAGGAAGCATTAGCACAGTGAAGTAGTTCATTTAAAATAAGCAAGGACCCATGGACTTTTTCATCTCTAACTCTCTCACCACGGTCAACACTTAAAAAACTTCCAGACTTATCATAGCACTGTTTATACCTAAAATAAAATTAAGTGTAACTGTATCTACCAGATAAAAAATAAATCTTTAACCATGAATATGCATCTTTCTGATTTTTCTTGGCATTTTCTCTCTGAGCCGTCACAACTAAAGCTGCCCTCAGAGCTTCAGTTGCTGCTTCACGAATAGCTTGTTTAGGGTCTTGTATGGCACAAAAAATTGATTCAAAAAATTGTGATACCAGTTGGTAAAAACAGGTAGGTAATGCAGTAGCTAGTTCCTTTAAGACTAGCACAGCGGCATGTCGTTTTGACTAAAAAATCAGATATTGTAAGAAAAGATGTATAGAGGCAACATTGTTTTAAATATTACTTCAACTCTGTCTCCACTGAGCCATTCTAATGACTTTTTCACCTCAAACTGAACATATTGAGAGGCTGTTGGACCTGAAGCTAGAGCAAGATTTGCCATAGTTTTAGCAACAAGTTCCATAATACTAACATCATTTGATGGCAATTGGTTTCTAAGATAATTTGCAAATCTAGTAATTCTAGTTGACATATTACCCAGCTCAGCACCAATAAGACAAACTAATGAATATGATGAATATAATTACACAATTAATTGTAATAATTTTCACTTAACTTACCAATTGCCAATATACCACCTTTTTTTTCATTGGCATCACTACTAGACACCATTTCAAATATATGATGATTAATCTCATCTAAAAAATTATTTATCTCTTCAGGGCTTGCCTCCCGAAGATCAGTCTTAACATAGACATAAAGATCTTTAGCAGCTTTAGATCTTGTATGTTCATTCTTTGATTTTAAGTTTGAAACAAACTGATGCATTACAACTATAGACATGGTGACTATATTTGTGGAACAACTGTTGTATTAAAAGAGAATAAACAATTGTGAATATCAATATTTTGTTAACTTAAAAACTGGGGTTCCTAATGGAACCCCACTGTAATAATAGGTAAACAATACACAGTCACATCAAAATTGAGCACTACTTGAACAGTCAAGTTATTATTTATGTAATTACAACTTTTGTGTTTTCCCCTTATTCTATTATTTTTCTAATTCCTGTCATGTATGTATTAGAGTAAAAAATATCACAAATATATACAGCATCTGATAGCATCTTCTATTTTTTTAAAAATTTTAAATTCTTGGAAATGCAAATGCCACATCTGTCAAACATTTTGACTTTTTGTACGTCAATGTCAATGTCAATGTCGAAAATTATTCTTATCGGTAAAATGAATTTCTGTAATATTTGGCGGTAGTTTAAAATGACGCATCTTTTCTAATAACGAGATACAGTGGAATTTTAAACAATACTTGAATACTAGCAATAAACTATAATTTATTTTAATAGAACAAGAATATAGTAAAACCCTTGTTTATACATCTTGGTATTTTAAATTATAATTACCTGTGTTTACGTGTTCACTCAATAATTATTATAGCTTATAGGTATAAGCTTTAATGTTTTTGATCTTTATTTTTTGACAAGGCTCTTATTTTCCTTTGCTAAAAATGCATCGCTTCAATACCCCTTGCACTTGTAAGTATGTAAGTAAGTAAGCATTTGCTAAGTTTTGAGTATTTTATAAGGGTTGTTAATATTCTTAATTTAAGTTGTATGTACGAGTACGTATTTATAGTAAGATAATCTAGTAAAAATTTGTTATAAACATAGATAATTCAGAAGGTTCTCGATGTATTATTCAGATGCAGATGATGACGCGAACGTCTGAATCTAAGGTCTGAACAAGGTCTGAACGATCTGAACCATAAGTGCGAGTAGAACCTACTAGTTGATGCTGGCTATATTTACTCAGTAGATAGCCATTAGCCTTTCTGGAAGTCCTCTTCTTTTCGTTCGATGATCGTAGAGCTGGGCCCTTCCTTTCATAGGGCTGGGTTGGTTTTGTGACAAGACAAAAGTTTCATAAAAGAACTAATATGAAAAATTTATATTATAAGTATTATTAGCCGACCATACCAATAGGTATGGCAGGTTATTAAGATCGACAAAAAAAAGTTTTTTTAATTTCACTCAAAATGAGTTATTTGGGTCATAAATGACCTAAATACAAAATATTTTCATGGTGTCTGTCTGTCTGTCTGTCTGTAACACAATAACTCAAAAACCGCTAAACCGATTTTAACCAAATTTGGCATAAAAATACTGTGGCACCCGAGAATCTGGCCATTAGTTTTTGGTGGGGGGTTGGTAAGCGGGTATGGGAGGGGGTTAAAAATTTAAAAAAATCTTAACTGCAAAATTACAGTAGCTAGCGAAACGCGGTTTTCAATTTAAGATTAGGAATAATATTTGCAACAAAATTTGTAATAACATCAAAATCAGTCAAAGTCGCAGTTTTTGAGATAAAAAAAATGGAAAAATTCCTTTACTTTGAAGCTAAAAGAACTGCCTACCAACTTTTTATTAACATATTTCAGTATGGGCGGCTATACGTGCCTCCCGGCGCCATTTTTTTTTAACTAAGATTGAGGTTTATATATAAAAACAGAGCTTTTATCAAGTTTATTTTATTGATTGAAATAAAAAAATACAAAACAAAAAACTTATCTAGAGACGATATTTCATTAGTTAAATTAGACTTATCCTTATTATAAAAAAATTAAAAAGGGACAAAGACAAATATTCTTTATGAAAAAAATATAATGTCAGACTTATTTCACATAGCAATATTAAAAAATCTTACTCTAATACTTCATACTCGCAAAAGAACTCAGACAAAGGACCAAATAGGTATACAGCAGGAGTCTCTACAGGATTTCCTAAAAATTCGGCATACAATTCTTGATACCTCGATAGAGTTAATCCACCTCTTCTTCTATCATCATCCTTAAAATAGAAAATACAATTATTCAAATATGTAATTTAATATTCAGGGTCAGGCAAAAGTGCGTCGAGCATCTGTAGCTATTAAAATAAAAAACTTGAGAATTTTGTCGAAGTGCAAACCTATGTACTAGGATGTATTTCAGGAAAATACTTTGAGTCCTATAGGGTGGCTCAAAAAAGTGTGAGTAAATTGTAGACTGTGAGTAAATTGTAGTATATTATTTAATTTTTGGCTTGCTTCCTGACCACTTTACATAATCCTAAGATACGAGTATATTTCGGTAGTTTCAATAAATATAAAATTAATTTTTTCAGCCTTTTTAAAAAAAGTTATTAAAAATACAAGAGCTGTCCTGAAATCAAAACTATAATAGGTATTTACTTTAGATGGTTTGTACTTACTTTGCTATAAATATGGTAATCGTAAATCATACAGGATGTTCAAAATTCTATGCCAAACTTTCTAAAATATAAAATAATTTTTCTTCGTTTTTTAACGAAACACCCTGTATATTCCCTTTTCAAAAGATTGAGAATTAAAAAATGAACATTTTTTGTATACTTTTTTTTGTTTTATATTTCATATGGCATTTTCCACAGTAAATTTTAATCAAAGCCTGATTTTTCTCTCGTATTTTACCGTTGAAAGCGCCATATGAAATAATAATGCGTGTATCTGCGATACCATTAAAAATTTTGAAATATTTTAAATACAAAAAATGTTGATTTTTTAAGTCTCCGTCTAATAAAAAAATAATATACAGGGTGTTCCATTAAAAAAAAACAAAGAAAAATTATTTTATAGTTTAGAAAGTTTGTTGTAGAATTTTCAACACCCTGTATGATATAAGATTACGATTTATGGTAAAGTAAGTACATACCATCTAAAGTAAAGACTTAAAGAATAATATAGTTTTCATTTCAGGAGAGGTTCTTGTATTTGAAATAATTTTTTAAGGAAAGTTGAAATACATATATTTTTTATTTATTTATTAATATTTCTGAAATTACTGAACTGTGTTTACTCATATTTTAGAATTACGTAAAGTGATCTGAAAGAAAGTCAAAAATGCAATAATATATAGGGTGTTCCGTTTAAAAAAAATCTGACAATCCACTCGCATTTTTTTTGAGCCACCCTATAGAAGTTAAAATATTTTCCTGAAATACATCCTAGTAAATAATTTAGGTTTGTTGTAGGTTGTTCGCTGACGTCGCTTTTTGTCGATCATACGGTATATCGGGTACGGCATTAGTGCTTCGGGAATATGTAGCTCCTAGAATAAAAAACTTGAGAATTTTTGTTTAAGTGCAAACCTAAATTATTTACTAGGATGTATTTCAGGAAAATAGTTTAACTTCTATAGGGTGGCTCTATACATCTTTTGCGAGTCAATAAACTCAAATAAACAATATTCAGAGAAAAATATACGGATTCTCGATTCTCGCACGAAACAATGAATTTGAGTTGTCAATATGTTTGAACTTCCTTAATGCTAATATTCATAGAGACATTCTACATTCTACAAGCTAAATTCTGAATTCTATTCAACTTTCTTCAACTTCCAAAATTTTTTTTTGTTTTACCAGTGCACGTGACACTTACACTGAGCAAGTTATTGAACGCTTCGTCCACGATTTCTACATCGTCAATTGCAAACTTCGTGATGCAGTTGTACCGGTATTCGTCAGCGTCGATGACACCGTCGTCGTTGATATCGACCATTTTGAAATTGGAATCGATGAACATCTTCATGGCTTGAGGAAAATCTTCGTATCGTTTGCCCACGCAGCATTGTTGCACCGCCTGCTTGAACTCGTCGGTGGTGATTTTGCCGTCCTGCAATAGCTCCTGCATTAAAACAGAAAGGGTTTTGTGTTAAACACGTGTCGGTGTGGTACTCTGGAATTTGGGATGCTTAAAATCGATTTGCCAATTGATGATATATAGCAGGGCTGAGTTTTAGTGTTAGTTTTATCTGTGGATCATATATTGGATTTGAACGTGGTAGACAATGATTCAGTATTGAATTGATTCACAACACAACGTTCCGATCAAGCGAATAGCCAATAAATACACTCAGATGCAAAAAAACGCAACGGAGAAATTTTTGATCAAATTAAAAGTTATATTTTTGTTATTTTTAGCCTTATTTTCATGAATTTTTTAGCAACGTGTATATAATTATATCACCTTTTATTCGTAAACTCAGTTTTTTATAAACTTTAGTATTTGGCATATTATACAGGGTTAATAGAGATGTTGTTTTTTACCCTAACTTTAAAACACCCTGTGCAATAATTTTGTGTGTAAATTTTCCTAAAATATAATTTTACGGTCAGAACCATGTCTCATGAGCATTTTGTTTTTTAGATCATGTCAATACATGCTTTTTGGTTAATTTTTAAGAGCGGAATGAACTTCCCACCAACAATTTGCGATTTTTTCAATTATTATTTCTTTTTGAAGATATTTTTCAATAGGACAAGCCGGCTTTGGTGATTATTGTGAACTATATACTACTATGAACTGCCCATCATATTCGACGTTTGGCAAATGCTTGGCAGGCGGGTTAGAGGTCGCGAAGCAGTCAGAGGGGTCAGAGGTCGCCAGCTTTAATAAATGAACTTTGCTTAGTCCTTAAAGAAGAATGGGAAAACATAACGCAATATGATATAGGTATACAGCCTCAATGACAGCATGAACGGACGTATACAGGCAGTTATAGCAGCCAAGGGCGGCAATACAAAGTAATAGGGTATTTGTTATATATTTTTTTCTGTTAGTATACTTGAATATTACAGATGTTTTTTTTTTAATATCGTTTGTTCTGTTATCGTTATTAATGTTTATTAAAACCCGGACTGTATCGTTAGTCTTTAACTTTTTCTTTTAATTTAGTATAGAGTAGGTATCCAATGCAGTGTAATATGACGTTACGACAATAGTCACTAAAACCATCTCGTCATATTAAAAAATTACATCAAAAAGTAATAATAATTAAGAAAATTGCAAATTGGTCGTTATCAGTTCATTTGAATCCAAATCATCTCAAATATAATCGCATAATGTACGCTACCATTTTCTGATATAATGGTGCGTTTAGACTTGAGCACGCACGCACTGATCCTCCGCGAATGCTCAAGTGTAAACGGCTGTGCGCGCACGCTCACTCTGAATCTGTCTGTGCGCGAGCAGCCGCGAACGTGAGCCGTCGGGTGTCGGTTTTTAGTCCGTGCTCAAAGGGATTTTATGTGTGCGCGAACGCTCAGTTTGCACCGGAAATTTGTCTGCGTTCGTGCGTGCGTGTGTGATTCTTTTTCAATTTCTTTATTAAAATTATGGAATGGATCAATGAATCTTCGTTATTATTAATTGAAGAATATGAAAAGTTGCCTATATTATGGGATGTTAAACATTATTCGTATTATTAAAAAACCAAAAAAAATAACGCATGGCAAGACCTTGCAAATAAAATTAATATCGAATATGTCGATATTAACTAAATTGCTATTCTAAAATTTATATCTTTTGTTCGTAAGTTTTGTGTATTCAAAGTCGGGCCTGGTTATTCTTGTAAAGTTTTTGAACTGATCACAGCCCTCCTCAGACACTAAGTTGTTCTAGTAAATTATATCGATTTCTAAAAATTTGGGTTTGCCACCAGCGATGATGTTTTCGATTTTTCTTCTTTTTAATAATTAAGCTGTGCATAACAATGACTGCATCCCCGACTATTTCTTGGTCGTCTATTATTTTCGCCAACACAACTCTACTGTGCGCGCACAAGTGGATCACTTCATTCGTCGAAATACAAGTTTTTAATTTGAACGGAGCCGAGAGCGCGAACGAATGCTGTGCGCGCACGCTCAGCTTGTGCGTGCTCAAGTCTAAACGCACCATTATATGTGTATAAAGGAGGATGAGCACATAATCGACTCGACTCGACTAGAACTATCGGCAGGTTTTGGTATACATAGAAATAAAGGTACGTACTTCTGAGAGCGTCTTGCGTCGCGTAACGTTCGCATCGCGTCGAAGCTAGAAGCGCCAGTTGAGCGTCATATGAGGCTATTCTTTTACATTTCCAGTTAGTAAAATAGCTTTAACTAGAGCACAGTTTATTTCATGTTACCAATGGAAACGTCGTATTTTGCTGAAATACATACCAAAAAAATTATACACAGAAGTTAGAAAACCTACCTAAAAAAATAAACAGATATTTTAAATTTCAAAAATATAGAATAGAGATAGATATATATTCTTTAAATAGCAGATTACGCACGTTTATATTTCTATATTGTAAAAATTATGTATTCCAAAAAGCTGGTGGTATTATATTATGTATTCCGAAAATTTGCGTGGACTTCCACGATTTGGAGTCTCTGAACGCTACAAATTTCGATGAGAAACAATTTAGATTGAACTCGACACGAGCCTAAGAGTACAGTACGTTTGTCCGTTCTGTAGCTACGGGGTATCCTTGAGAGGGGACACGATATTCTCTCGATGTTTTTCGTAAAAATTAGACGACGCGTCCCATCAATAAAAATTCGACAAATTTGCAAGTAGCTAATAAAATGAGTGGGCGTAGCGATTTGCGGTGACGTACTAGTCAAGTACGACGTATAAAATATATTGCTGTTTATTTAAATGTTTTTTGTCCGCATTCCTTTCATAGACACAGATCCAGCAGACGTACTGTACGCCCATAGTGCACCGGCTTACCGCTTCTCGCTTTATCGCGGCAGACCAGCGGTGAGAAATAGAGGAACAACTGTACGCGCGTAGCCACAATACGCCAGTCAGCCAGTTTCAACCGGCTTAAACTGCTTTTACCGGAATGAATCATGCTTTAGCACAATTCAAGCTATTTACTTAATTATTAAAAATTGTATACGAAAAATGCTTTTCGTCGGTTTTTGATTTATTGAGAGACACAACAGTTTCAATAAAAACTATTTATTTCGCACATTTTTTCAACCTCGACCGGCCTCGAAACTTGGCGCGTCGTCTTCCTCGAAGCGAGTCGTTAGGCTCCTCCTACTTTCTTTCCGTTTTTCCCGTCAAGGCAAGGCGCCAAATTTGAATTATAAGTAGGGAGAGGTATATTTAATGCTATATCGATATACGATAACACCCCCCCACTTTGAAAAAAGCGTTGCCATGACGGTTAGAACAATAATTTACAATTTTACATAAATCAATGCAAAAATACAAATTTTACATGAACTAAATGAAAATAAATAAATAATAATAACTCTAGCCAAGTAACAGAAAATATTAAGTTATATCTTCTAAAAATAATAATAATACAGAGTACAAAATTCAAAATAATTCTTAAAACATAAATAAATGAATGGAAAACTTAAAAATGAAAATAAGTACAAATCAAATCTTCCTTTTGTTATATTTGTGTAAAATACGTTTAGATTCTGTAATAAGGTAGGTAAGTTTAATAAAGTTGGTAATAACCATTATCAAGCGCAACAACTAAGTGTACAAGTCTTTGGTTTTACGGTTCGACGTCTAAAGGACGAGTTAAGATACGTTTGGGTTACATTCGAATTTGATGGAGAAGGTGGTGAGGTACAAGACCTTATAGAACTATGAGCTTTATCCAAAACAGCATAATTTCTAGGAAAATGTCGATAATCCAACCGACGATTTCTTCTCTCTAACCTAGGCTCTAAGGAGGGGAAACTAGATACCTCGTCTGAGTTTATCTGAGAATCGGGTTGAGCTAAACTAAGTTTAGGGACGGCATCGAAACTTGGTGGCGAGTCCTCGTCAGCAGGGGTTTCAGGTTCTGAATCTTCAGAGGAGCCATTTTCTGAACTGGAGGTGTCATAATCGGGGAAATTGCCCGAAGGGGCAAGTCTATATCAAAATTTAGATTAATTTGCCCTGACGACTGAACTTGGATGTCATAACAAGTTAAAATAAAATCTTGGCTACTTTTGTTATAATTAAGATTAGGTAAAACCATCCAGATGTTTTACCTAATCTTAATTATAACAAAAGTAGCCAAGATTTTATTTTAACTTGTTATGACATCCAAGTTCAGTCGTCAGGGCAAATTAATCTAAATTTATAAGATTTACGCTAGCTCCAGAATCTAAAAGTACGAAAATAACTTTATTATGAATTTTAATTTTTATTCTAGGAAGATGCGATTGTGTACTTACTCCATTTACAATTTTAAAAAGACTTCTTAGTGCTGGTTTCTCGATGACTGTGTCGGATAGTTGTTGGCCGGATTCAACTGGTGGGGGTCGTTTCCAGCCCGTCTCCGGTTTTCCGGTCTGTAAGGATTCTCTGGGCACTCACGATGAAAATGTAGGCGTCCACAGAACCTACAGGGTGTAGAGGGTTGATTCCTCTGCGCGTTCGGATACCATAATTATGTAGTTCTTCATCCACGTCTGATTGACTCAACTGGTCACTGCTGTCCGTTGATTCTTTGAAAGGGTTGTGGGAGTGGGAACTCTGTTTTTTAAAAACAGAAAAGTCCAGAAAATTACCGCCATTCTTGTTCTCGGGAAGCTTGGGCGTCTCGTCAACAACCTTGAACAATTCCATTTTGTTAGCAGCAATTCTCCAGCTTCTTTCTTTTCGCCTAACCACGCTGTTAGGCGCCATGTATACGAAAAATGCTTTTCGTCGGTTTTTGATTTATTGAGAGACACAACAGTTTCAATATAAACTATTTATTTCGCACATTTTTTCAACCTCGACCGGCCTCGAAACTTGGCGCGTCGTCCCCCTCGAAGCATCCTCGAAGCGAGTCGTTAGGCTCCTCCTACTTCCTTTCCGTTTTTCCCGTCAAGGCAAGGCGCCAAATTTGAATT